TATTTAATTATATACGAGTATATAATATTAGAATTGTTGTGTGTTCGTTGTTGATAAATCATCAAGTAGACGGATAATTATTTAATACGCAAGAGTTAACACAATACAATTATACGGTTTTATTATGGCGCATTTTGATATTAAATTACGTCTTAAGTGTAATCAGTGCTATTTTATATCTTAAATAAGTAGGCTTAGCGACTTCTAGCAAATGTATATTTTTTCTGAATACTGTAAAAAGTAGGAAACCCAAATATAAATTCTGTTCGTGATATATGCAATCTAAATCCAAAATTTGATTTTGCATATTTTTGCATACCTATATAAATGTTTTTGTTTAATAGAACATAAATACAAATTATCAAGATTATTAGACCTTTTTTTTAACTATTCTACAAAAAAAAATTAAAAATGAGAAAAAATTATTTTAAATAAATAAACGTTACCACTCCGGAACACACAATTAAACTATTCATACTCAGTCCAAAGAGTTCGAAGCGCCCTCAAAAATAACTTACCAGTTTCGTGCCCCACCATACAAGTTTTTAATAATAATTTTAGACGATGTTAAAGTTATATATTATTTATAAACTATAAGTACAAATCACACAAGTATACAAAAATTAGCTTTTTCAATGATTTGTCTGAAAACGGATCGAAATCTCAAGTTTAAAAAAGCTGCATGCAAAATATACGGCATAATGGTACCTAAATATTTATATTGACAAGACCTATTGTGGTAAAAAGTAAACTACAACTGTTGTAGAAATCAAATTTTCATAATTGATTACATTGCGCAATATAAACAATAGGTAAAAGATACAGTTGTTTCAAAAAATATTTTGTCGAAAATATTTAAGATTTAATCCAAAATAATTTTACCAATAGGTACATCGAGTATTAGTCGTAAGAAAATAGACACGCACTCAAACGATTAAGTAGTTAAAAGAAAATTATCTAGTTCAACATACATTATACATAAATATACGTATAACTAATGCTCGAATTCCTTTTCTAAAACGTATTTTAAGAAATGTCTAGAATCTAATACGATTGTTCCTATCGACAAAAAAATAATGCAAAATAAATACTCACAATTATAATTCGTATTAAGATCAAATCATGCAGATAATTAAAGTCAGTTAAATTGTTCGAATTTATTTCCATATTGATTAATTTGTGTAATCATTATGATTGATTAAAATGTCTTGATTAATGTGCAACTTAAAATTCAAATCGTAACGAAAAAGAAATTTTCAAAAATATTATAATAATTTCTTAAAACCAAAACCTACTGAATAAAGATAAATTTGATTATATTCAGTATACTGCTGTTACTATAACACCTTTTTAATTTACATGAATTTAGAAAAATAATTAGTTTGGAAAATGATGAGATAAATATCAAAAATTATTATTCCCGTGATAAATTATATAATTTATTTTCATCATTATTATTGTAAAATTAGACTCAAGGCGAATGAAAAATATAATAAGAGCCAAAAAATAAAAATAATACATGATAACAAGCGGAATAATACCTTGCCTGTTTACATATCTGCTTATATATTTGCCTATACATGATTTCCTTAAAATATTACAGACATTATTTTAATAAATATTTAAATACGAGTATATGATAGAATAACATTGTAGTGTACACCGAAATTAAATCCAGTTCACACGAATAGAACTATCAGAATTTAGATATTTTATAACTAGTTGATTTCTTATGTTTTATAATTAAATATTATTCCCGATATTATTAGTATAATTATTAGTATACTAGTGTACATCAATGTTCAATTATACAAATATGTAGAATACATATTATACAAATTAATGCGGCATAATTCATTAAATTATTTGAATGCTTATTAAATGTTAAATTGTAACCATTTATAAACCTTAATTACTCAGATAAAAACTGCATTTAATAATAAATAAGTCTGTTGATATACATTTTAAGCAAAACAAAAACACAACAATCAGATACATTAAATTAATCAAATGAACTTTGTATTCTATTAATTCTATGTACATATAATATATTATTTCAAATAAGAGAATTCTAACTAACTTTTGATTTAATTTATTTCTACTCTAACAATACACATATTATAAAAAGGTAATGAAGCTCTAACATATACTATAATCTATATGTTAGTAAAAAATTTACTCTTACCATGCACAGAAATCAACTATCCTATTTTACAAAAAAAAACCGTATGGACAAAGGAGGAATTTAATTAGACATCACCACTGTTGCTTCTGTACCAAGATCAAATTGAATTCAAATTTTACTCTTAATTTAATAACTATAATTTAATATTAACCTACATAATTTATAAATGATTATTATTCTTCATTATTGGACTTGTTCCGTAAATATATGGATAAAAAATAAATAAACACTGTAATCGATAAAAGTTTATTCAGAAATTCTTTTATGATAAAATTAATTTCTATAAATATCTGTGTTAAATGAAAAATAGCCAAATTAATATTAAAATTCTAGTTCAATACTTTTAACAAGCATATTAAATGTACAAAATGTACACATGAAATGTTTACTAAACTTAAGTACAATAATTGTTTTGTGTATTTCTATATTAAAATGTATAATAATACTCTTATTTTACACAAATCATTTTTCATGTTCAGTTATTATTGACATATGGCTAAAATATTTTAAATCAACATGACAATACACATTGAAAATGAATTACCCTTATATTTGTGTGTGTGTGTATATTTTTTAGGAATAAAAACAAATGTTGTACATAATGATTAATTGCTTTATTATAACTATGGATAAAACTATTATCTACCAAATTAAAATATTGTATTCAGGACATAATTCTACTAGTAGTTTATCTTATTAGTAAATTATCAAACATACTCTGGGGTCTGGAATGAAGTATAATCTAACAAAACCGACACCGATCAGTATTTATCTTCCATGCATTAGGATTTATTTGGAGTAAAAATGAATTTTTCTATACAGCTTACAAGGTTTGGTTATTTAATATAAATCGTAAACAATATTTGTTATATATATTCCATTCCCTATAGTACTTAGCATCATACAGATTTAAAGGCTTTTAACATGTATATATGTATTTATACATTGTATATTAATCTTGAACAATTTTATAATAAAAAAGAAAAAAAGCATTTAGTAGTATTACATGATTAAGACATCAAACAATTTGAGAAATAATAGAAAATGCTTATCCAATAAATTAATTACTTTGTATAAGTTTATTTATTAATATGCAGTAGTATTCAGTATCAACGCTATACCATTTTTCAGTAGAAGAATTATACTATAAAGTTAAACAGTTTGTTTATTTTAAATTAGACAACCTGTTTGAATACCTCTTTGTAACTTATAAATGTAACATAAATTAATATATGTAAATTAAACTGCAGAAATATAAGATATTGAAACAAATAAAGGTAATTGTCATGGTATCATATTATAATTTATAATGTTAAATGAGACAAGTTAGTAAATTAATGAAAAAAAGGTTAACATACAACTATTATATGAAACAATAGATACCTGTATTTTAGTTTACAATGATTAATAGCATTGTTTAACGATATCAAACAAAAAAAATCTAAAACCCGAATTCATTACTTAAACAAATCAAAATACTAGGAATACACTGTATATGTCTATATATGTTATACATTAATTTCTACATTTTTTTTATATTAACTAGGAATTTTGTATGATTAATTTTGATATTTGTTTATGTGTAGTAACACAACTTAAATATTTTATAACTGCATTTGTATACAGTTTGAATGGTATAGATTTATCAATCAAAATTATTTAAAAAAGTATTCATATAATTTAAAATTAGCTTATTTTATCATTAAACAAAATTAAGATACAGTGAAAAACTAATATTGAAATTTTTTGTATAATTTTTATTTTGATAATATGATAAGATATGATATCTATCAATGAATATTGCAATGACTATCGATCTAGGTACACACCAGGCAATGAAAAAGTCAATAGTAACTGACAAAAGAAATATAATACTTACTAATAACTAATAAGTAATAATAAGCATTGAATGGTAGAAACTATTTTTTAAATTTTTATTAGTTACTGAAATGTATAAAATATTATTGTTCATGTATCAAATATTTATATAATTCTTTAAAAATACTGATAGACATTATCTGGTTACTAGTGTTTTACAAATTTTTAATATTTTATTTTGGTAAGAAATGAATTGATACAACAAAATTAATTTCAATTTACTTTTTATGATTTTATTTACAAAATATTAATAGTAGGTATACAAAAAGAGTACAGAACATTGAATTTTATTTTAGCAGACATTAATATTAAAATACATTTATTACCTACTTACTTACAAATCATATGAACAATGAATAAATTACAGTTTTTATGTGACTTAACATAAATTAAGATTCCTCTACCCAAGAATCAAAAAGAAAAATTTTAAATTTAAGCACAAGTTAATAGGTAGGTACTGGAATTAATTAAAGTAATGGAATAAATAAATAAGTTTGGATAATTAGTTTTGAATTAATAGTATTTATTTGTAAACATATTTAAGCTGGAAAATAGACCATCACCGGAGTATACGTAACATAGCCAACTACATAGTATTATGTGAGAATCCTTGAAAGAATCTAAAAAAAAAAAAACAAAATAAGAAAACAACAGTGATGGAGTGAATAATGACAGGTACAGTGATGAATGTAACAAGACATATGCAGAAATAATGCCCTATACACTTGTTCATATGCATACACATATAAACACTCGTAAACAGTATTCAAGCTACAAGCGAGTCATTAAAATCACATAAGAGTGACAGCCAGCTGTGGTTTGAACGTGATGTATATAGCTCAAAGGATAAAAACATTGTGGTGACAGTCAGATGATGAGATGGACTGGTTGTACGCTTTGCAACGAGACTCGACTCTAAGTAATTAGTGTGTCTTACCTCGTTCGGAGCCGTCCATGGTGACGGGCAAGCGTGAAGTAGACGCCGCAGACGAGGAAGATGACGAAGAAGCGGCGGCGGCAGCCAGGGTAACAATGATTCCGGTCACAGTGAATGAATATTAAGCCCCGAACACTGGGGTAGTACTGTCAGGAGAGAAAACCGGGACGTGTAGGTCTTCGGGTCGGCGCCGAAGACCCTAGCGTGCCGAGTACAAGCCGCCGGGAGTCGCGGTACGTTGGTTCGGGTGGAGGGTGCACCGCAGGGCAGTAGCGGTGGTGGACACTCAAAGACGAAGTGAACGCGGCCAAGGTTGATGAACTAGGTCATTGGACGCGCCAGGGATTTCCGAAAGGGTTCGCGCGAACCAGCGGCGCACTAAGCGAGAAAACGCGGACGGACGGACGGACGAGACTCGCGGGTCGACGGTGACAACGTCTGATGTACAGCGACAGCGTGATAAACGGTCCCCGAGAGTACGCGTAAGTTACGCACTTTTACGATACGGTGGTGATGGTCGGGTCGGTGGCGGCGGTGAAGGGAAAGGTTATCAATCGGTGTCGCGGCGGCCAAAGACCCGACGTCTCGGTCGGTCGTGGCCGTCGAGGGTTCGGCTCGACGGCGGCGGCGGCGGCGGCGGCGGTGGCGGATTTGTCTGTGGCTAGCGATGGAGACGCGCGCGGTGTATACCGGGTGGGGAAACGTTGAACAGTAGTCGTAGTGACTGTCGACCCGCGGACAAACGGCCGACAACGACGTCACTGACCCCGTTTCTCCTCACCGCCGCCGATTGCTATACGAGGCCGACTCGTTCCCGCAACTGCGTTCACCGACAATGACGGGCATATCCATTCGCTACGCTACCGTAACAGGGGCGTATTTTTTGGGAGGGGGGGGCGAAGAGGACGATCGTCGTCCCCCTGAATCCGTATTTAAGGAATCGATCATATGTGAAATAAACATTTCAAATTTTTTTTAATGTGGATCATTTTATAACGATATTTAGTGTCCATACCAGGGCACCAAAACGTTAAACTAGGTACTCAAAAAGCGATTGAAATCGATAACAGATAACGAAACAGAAACGAAAAACGATTATTCTTAATATCGAATAACACAACAGAAAACGATTAACGATTGAAACATAAAAGAAATTACCATCGCAAAATATTTATAACGTGGTATGTGCATTTTATTGAACAATAATACAAAAAATATAAAACAATATGAAAAAATATGATTACTTTATTTATAAGTTATGAGTTATGAGAATTACAAAAAAAAATTATTGTTAAAGGCAGGGGTGTATTGGTACGTATACGCAGGTATACGACGTATTAACATCAGCAGATTTTCGATTTATGCGTATATCTAATGTAAAATATTATTTTACGGGTATACGCTTCTAAAATAACTCGAAAACAAAAAAACTAATAATAATTTAATAGTTCATTAGAAAAAATTGGGAACAAATCTACTTTACCGGACACACTTTTTTTTCAACTTTTTTTTTCAAAATACGTGGTTTTTTTACGTTGAATTCAAAACTGTTTGAAAAAAGTCCCGCAAACTTACCGTTAAAAAGTTATGAAAGTTCAAAGTTGTAGTGATTACGCGTGTTTTGGCACTCGGCGCCGTCGTTCCACTTCGCAAATCAAAAATATCCCCCGATTTGTTGTGTAAAACCACCTCAGGTGAACCTCTGTTTCCCTCAATATTGAATTTAGTTATTTAGCATATTTTATAATATCGACAACTTTAAATTGCCATACACACGTAATCACTGCAACTTTGAACTTCCATAACTTTTGAACGGTTAGTTTGCAGAAATATTTTCAAACAGTTATTGAATTCAGCATAAAAAAAACCACGTATTTTGGAAAAAAAAATTAAAAAAAAAAAAAGGTGTCCGGTAAAGTAGATTTATACCAAAAATTGTTATAAATCATGAAATAGATTGAAATATTTACCTGTTGAAGATTACAGTGTACGCTATGTTTAATGTATTTAGTTAACTATAGTGAATAACATTAAATAAAATAGTATGGAGTGTGAACATTCAACCCCTGGTTCTTAAATCTGCATCATGCAATTTATAACGCACAGCAAATGTATATCTTGTGCTGTTATATTTTATAGTCTTAATAGAAGTTATAAAAATGTAGTAACAAAGAATTAATTATATTTTTTCAAACGTATCGAGAGAAAACAATTGTCGAGCGAAGCAAAAAAATTTATTTTAGAATTAATATCCATATTTTTTTTAATGCATATATCCACAAATATATTTACCAATACACCACTGGTTAAATGTAATATATATAGTATAATATATAAAATATGTAATGTTATTTTACATAGTACAGATTGCTAAATACTACATTTGAAAACGTTTAAATTTGTATAACGTTTAAACGCTGAAATTGAATAACGTTTAAATTACTAATAGCGTTAAACGCTAAATTGCTTAAAACGTTTAAATGTCC